CCCGGCCGCGTCATACCAAAAGACGTTAGACGATGGTACTTGCTGTTACCCTGTCTGGCGCTCGGCATTAAGGGGCTAAAACAAGGACTGGTCGGCTCGGAGTCAGTATACTGTGTCTGAGTGGGGTCTTCATGTTAAACTGCGGCATGGTATCTCAGTGAGCTAGCACTATAAATCGGCATCAGTCTGGACTGGTACAAGCAGCCACACACATACACGTGCATGCACGTCGCTATATAAGTGCAATAATCTTGGACGCAACGTTAAACCCAATTTCACCTCACCTCACCTCACCTCACCTCAACTCACCTCATACATACAGCGTAGACTGGGTAGACTGACTAAGTAACTGAGTATGGTTTTACGCCGCATTTAGCACTATTCCAACAATATCACGGCGGGAGACACCAGAAAAGGGCTTCGAACATTGTACCCATGTCGGTAATCGAACCCGGGTCTTCGGTATGACGAGCAAACGCTTTAACCACTGGGCTACCCGACCGCCCCACACTGGGTTGTGAGGCAGGGTATGGCCAGCGGTGTGCACTCATTGGCCCGTGTTGGAGTGTTTAGAAGAAGCGAAGCGGCCCATGAATACATTACATTTGTAAGGCCTTTCAAAGTCTGATGCTTGTCTGTGTGTTTGACCTGCCTGGTACACATCTCAGAGATAGGAACAATTCTTGTGAGGGTAGTTTCTACTTTATCATTAACATACTAAAAGCTATTAAAGTGGTTATGAGTGCGTGAACCTCTGTCTACATAATGCGTTGTGTGATTGTTTATCCGGATATCTAATACACATTGCACATTTTTAAGGAAGCGGCGGTTATGTTCTCTGTATTCATTGGCTAGAGTAGATCCCGGAACATTTCACATCATCAGGCTTCAGTGATTCACCAAGCCATCCCCTCAGGTCAATGTTCAAGGAAATAACTCTGCGCCATTGTGTGACAAATTAACAAATCCACCAATCGGGGCATCCTGAGACATTAAATCGATTTTAGACTATAAGAAATGTTATCTCCAATCAACACATCCTCCAAAATAAGAAGGCAAACAATCGCCCGCAGCCTGGAAATGGAGTAAATCCTGCCGGGGTGCCATGCAGGGAGAGGGATGTAGTAAATCCTGCTGGGGTGTTATGCAACTTGAGGGATTGAGTAAATCCTGCTGGGGTGCCATGCAGGGAGAGGGATGGAGTAAATCCTGCTGGGGTACCATGCAGCTAGAGAGATGGAGTAAATCCTGCTGGGGTGTTATGCAACTTGAGGGATTGAGTAAATCCTGCTGGGGTGCCATGCAAGTAGAGGGATGGAGTAAATCCTGCTGGGGTACCATGCAGCTAGAGAGATGGAGTAAATCCTGCTGGGGTGTTATGCAACTTGACGGATGGAGTAAAACCTGCCGGGGTACCATGCAGCTAGAGAGATGGAGTAAATCCTGTTGAGGCATAATGCAGCTAGAGGGATGGGATAAATCCTGCTGGTGTACCCTGCAGGTAGAGGGATAGAGTAAATCCTGCTGGGGTACCATGCAGGTAGAGGGATAGAGTAAATCCTGCTGGGGTGCCATGCAGGTAGAGAGATAGAGTAAATCCTGCTGGGGTACCCTGCAGGTAGAGGGATAGAGTAAATCCTGCTGGGGTGCCATGCAGGTAGAGAGATAGAGTAAATCCTGCTGGGGTACCCTGCAGGTAGAGGGATAGAGTAAATCCTGCTGGGGTACCCTGCAGGTAGAGAGACAGAGTAGATCCTGCTGGGGTGCCATGCAGGTAGAGAGATGGAGTAAATCCTGCTGGGGTACCCTGCAGGTAGAGAGATGGAGTAAATCCTGCTGGGGTACCCTGCAGGTAGAGGGATAGAGTAAATCCTGCTGGGGTACCCTGCAGGTAGAGAGACAGAGTAAATCCTGCTGGGGTACCCTGCAGGTAGAGAGATGGAGTAAATCCTGCTGGGGTACCCTGCAGGTAGAGGGATAGAGTAAATCCTGCTGGGGTACCCTGCAGGTAGAGAGATAGAGTAAATCCTGCTGAGGTACCCTGCAGGTAGAGAGATGGAGTAATTCCTGCTGGGGTACCCTGCAGGTAGAGAGATGGAGTCAATCCTGCTGGGGTACCCTGCAGGTAGAGGGATAGAGTAAATCCTGCTGGGGTACCCTGCAGGTAGAGAGATAGAGTAAATCCTGCTGGGGTACCATGCAGGTAGAGAGATAGAGTAAATCCTGCTGAGGTACCCTGCATGTAGAGGGATGGAGTAAATCCTGCTCGGGTACCCTGCAGGTAGAGGGATAGAGTAAATCCTGCTGGGGTACCCTGCAGGTAGAGAGATGGAGTAAATCCTGCTGGGGTACCCTGCAGGTAGAGAGATAGAGTAAATCCTGCTGGGGTGCCATGCAGGTAGAGAGATAGAGTAAATCCTGCTGAGGTACCCTGCAGGTAGAGGGATGGAGTAAATCCTGCTGAGGTACCATGCAGGTAGAGGGATGTAGTAAATCCTGCTGGGGTACCCTGCAGGTAGAGAGATGGAGTAAATCCTGCTGAGGTACCATGCAGGTAGAGGGATAGAGTAAATCCTGCTGGGGTACCCTGCAGGTAGAGAGATGGAGTAAATCCTGCTTGGTTACCCTGCAGGTAGAGAGATGGAGTAATTCCTGCTGGGGTACCCTGCAGGTAGAGAGATGGAGTCAATCCTGCTGGGGTACCCTGCAGGTAGAGGGATAGAGTAAATCCTGCTGGGGTACCCTGCAGGTAGAGAGACAGAGTAAATCCTGCTGGGGTACCCTGCAGGTAGAGAGATGGAGTAAATCCTGCTGGGGTACCCTGCAGGTAGAGGGATAGAGTAAATCCTGCTGGGGTACCCTGCAGGTAGAGAGATAGAGTAAATCCTGCTGAGGTACCCTGCAGGTAGAGAGATGGAGTAATTCCTGCTGGGGTACCCTGCAGGTAGAGAGATGGAGTCAATCCTGCTGGGGTACCCTGCAGGTAGAGGGATAGAGTAAATCCTGCTGGGGTGCCATGCATGTAGAGGGATAGAGTAAATCCTGCTGGGGTGCCATGCATGTAGAGGGATAGAGTAAATCCTGCTGGGGTACCCTGCAGGTAGAGAGATGGAGTAAATCCTGCTGGGGTACCCTGCAGGTAGAGAGATAGAGTAAATCCTGCTGGGGTGCCATGCAGGTAGAGAGATAGAGTAAATCCTGCTGAGGTACCCTGCAGGTAGAGGGATGGAGTAAATCCTGCTGAGGTACCATGCAGGTAGAGGGATGTAGTAAATCCTGCTGGGGTGCCATGCAGGTAGAGAGATGGAGTAAATCCTGCTGAGGTACCCTGCAGGTAGAGGGATGGAGTAAATCCTGCTGGGGTACCATGCATGTAGAGGGATAGAGTAAATCCTGCTTGGTTACCATGCAGGTAGAGAGATGGAGTAAATCCTGCTGGGTTACCATGCAGGGAGAGGGATGGAGTAAATCCTGCTGGGTTACCATGCAGGTAGAGGGATGGAGTAAATCCTGCTGGGGTGCCATGTAGGTACAGGGATGGTGTAAATTCTGCTGGGGTACCATGCAGGTAGACGGATGTAGTAAATCCTGCTGTTGTACCATGCAGGTAGAGAGATAGAGTAAATCCTGCTGGGATGCCATGTAGGTAGAGGGATGGAGTAAATCCTGCTGGGGTACCATGCATGTAGAGGGATAGAGTAAATCCTGCTGGGGTGCCATGTAGGTAGAGAGATGGAGTAAATCCTGCTGGTGTACCCTGCAGGTAGAGAGATGGAGTAAATCCTGCTGGTGTACCCTGCATGTAGAGGGATAGAGTAAATCCTGCTGGGGTGCCATCCAGGTAGAGTGATGGAGTAAATCCTGCTGGGGTGCCATGCAGGTAGAGAGATGGAGTAAATCCTGCTGGGGTGCCATGTAGGTACAGGGATGGTGTAAATTCTGCTGGGGTGCCATGCAGGTAGAGGGGTGGAGTAAATCCTGCTTGGGTACAAGTCAGCTCGAGGAATCGGGCAAATCGTGCGGGGGTACCATGCAGCTGGAGGATGGAGTAAAAAGGCGTCTAAGGCGCCGCAATTCGCTGTGCAGAGTTGCATGCCTTGGGCACGCCAGAAACCTATGATTGTGGGTTCGAATCCCGGTTCGTCCCGATTATGTTTCTAGGTTTGTCAGCACCATACCAGTGCTCGTGGGTTTCACTGAAGTGGTAACCTTCTAAGACCTGCATCACGTCGGGCTTTCCTCCCACATTAAGCTGACACGCCGTGATATAACTGGAATACTGTTAAAAGCGGCGTTAAACCCAACTCACTCACTCACTAAACTAAACACTGTGGGTCGTTACGGCCTTGTGACCAAATCGTTTCATCGTCAAGCCCAGGGACCGGGTTGTGTAGAATATGTACAGTGAAGCCCATTTCTGGTGTTACCCGCCGTCATATTGCTGGAATATTGCTAAAAGCGGCGTAAGACCAAAGTCACCCATCTCACATCTTAAATTCCAATATATCACACACACAAAAATCATGATTGGAGTTTACAGCACAGAGTTTATTCAGAGTTTATTATTTCATAATACAAAATAATACAATACAATATTATGTGTGTGGTTGAGGCAAGGATCAAAGGCCTTTTGAATGTCTGATCATGAATTCAAACGATTATTGTCAGATAGGAGGTGACCTTTACATTCATAAGAATCTTCAACTCATCAGCGCTTCCTGTGGTCAGTCCTGGACCCTTGTTGAACTGCATGTTAGGAAAACCAATCCTTTCTTGCCGATAAGCCACACAAGCAGTGAGAGCAGTACCCTTTCGCGAACACTCCGGCATTTTCGTATATAGTGATATTATAGTTGGTGAACTTGGTTTAACGCCGCTTTTAACAGTATTCCAGTTATATCACGGCGTGTCAGCTTAATGTGGGAGGAAAGCGCCAAGTGATGCAGGTCTTAGACGGTTACCACTTCAGTGAAACCCACGAGCACGGATATTGTGCTGACAAATCTAGAAACATAATCGGGGCGAACCGGGATTCGAACCCACAATCATAGGTTTCTGGCGTGCCCAAGGGACGCAACTTAGGCGCCCTTGACGACTGGGCCACCCGTGCCCCTAGTGATATTATAAACATCATAATAATGGTGTTGGTATTTGCGATACATGTGAACACATCTTTGGAGTTGAGTACAACACATCAATATATTTCGTGGATAATATTTGGCATCGGTTAACACATTAATATATTTCTGGGATAATATTTGGCATTGGTTAATATCTGCTTTTGTGTTATCTTACGGATTTATCGACTTCGCTACTTGGGGAATGGCATCCTCATTAATCGCCATTTTGCATTTCAGTGCCTACGTGCCGGCCCCAGGGCAACGACATTTCCCAGAACGAACTCTTATCCCCTTTTCACAGACTCCCGATCCACTACAACCCTACACAATCTGCAGTCAACGTTAGGACCTTCACAACCACAGTTACAAGTGCCACATCTGCGGGAGCGTCTTTGGATACCCCCACTGCATGTTCCCCAGCGAGTCCAAGACGACCATGCGGCCTGGCACTCCTTCCAAGGGGTCAGGTCAATCTCATCCAGTGAACCACATGTCACCCTGAAGATCAGAAAACAGCTCATGAAACACGTTTCGAGGTGCAAGGTTCCTTACGTTATTTGTGATTTATGTCAGTGAGTATGGTCTAACGCCGCTTTAAGCAATATTCCAGCAATATCACAGCAGGGGAACACCAGAACTGGGCTTCACACATTGTACCCATTTGGGAAATCGAACCCGGGCCTTCGGCGTGACGAGCGAACGCTTACACCACTAGGCGACCCGACCGCCACCGACCGTCACAATGATGACAATAGGAAAATAGAGAATTTGAATATTCGTTTCTCATCCTACCGATCCTGTATTCTTTAAGCGATTATAATTTAAATGTGTATATTAAAGAACTTTTTTTTGACCACCTACCAAAGGTTTTGATAAAGAAATAGTTAACGAAACTGATCATGATGAAAATACATACGCAGGAGCCATGACAAATGCGTTTGGCTGTATGCTGCCAGTGTTTGTGTTTTCACACACGACCCGGGACAGGCTTGCTTTCCTGATCTGCTCCAGCTGTGCTGTAACGACATGAGTGAGTGAGTGAGTTTAACGACGCTTTTAACAGTATTCCAGTTATATCACGGCGTGTCAGCTTAATGTGGGATGAAATTCCGAAGCAATGCAAGTCTCAGACGTTTACCACTTCGGTGAAACCAGCGAGCTCGGGTATGGTGCTGACAAACCTAGAAACATAATCGGGGCGAACCGGGATTCAAACCCACAATCATAGGAATCTGGCGTGCCCAAGGGACGCAACTCTGTACAGCGAATCGCGGCGCCTATGACGACTGGGCCACCAGTGCCCCCTGTAACGACATGAACACAACTTAATATTAAATTTCAGTTATTGTTTTTTTATATCGAACATATATATACTAGTCTCACTCGAGTGTGTTTTGAATTCAAAGATATCAACAAGAGTTGATAAAAGTTGGAAAACTCCAAGGCTTGTCGAGTGTTGATTTGTTTGATATTAAATGACAAGAGGGTGAGATGTTTTTATCATTCAACATCATTCTTCCCACTTTTTCAGTTTGTAGACAGTAATGAGCAGTATCTTAAGTTAAAAAGTACTGCTAACTATTCAGTAGCAGAGCTATAGTGACGTCATTTGATTGAGACGTCATGGTAATCAATGACGTCACAATGGTCAGCAAAGCATTGTGATGCACTTTCATTACAGCGATATCTACAATGTAGATATCGCTGTTTAATGCCTCGCTCAGCAATATTTCAGTTTTATGATGGTGACCTCTAAATAATCGTATTTGGACAAAAAAACAACGTTGAATGATATTATGAGCAACGATCCACGATGGTTTGGGTACGATTACACTCAATCAGCCAAGTCACCGGGCTGACAGTTTGCTTCATTAAAACACCTAGGGGAAGGAAAGACCGAACTAGAGCGACTGTCTTCGACGTTTACCATTTTGGTGAATCCACCGAGTGGGGTGCAAGAATAGTTCTGACAAAAGGATTATACCCAGGGCGAATCTAGGCATCGAAGTCCATAGTACAGGATTCCGATATGTCTAAGCTGTGAATAGCCCGAATTAGTACAGGTTAGACGTTTCCCACACCGGTGAAACCAACGAACACGACGACGATGCTGGCAAAGTTAGAAAATAATCAGAGAAAATATGGGTTCGAAGCCACGGTTACTGGCTGCTGGCGTTCCTAGTGGACCCAACTTTGCACGGCGAGTGTCACATGTCATTCACTGATGAGCACTTATTTGTGCCAGGTGAATACCGCTGGCTAAATGTGCGATACACAATTATTAATTGGGATAATATATTCACCTGGAGTAAATTTCACGAAATTGTTGTCTTCCTCAAACCAGAATCGGTCTCCTTTCTTGAGAGCCTCGAACTGTTTTCCGAGCAGACAGGCGAAGGTTGGTCCAACAAGTCCCCCTGGTACCGGCTTCTCGGAGAGCCCTCCAGTGAACAAGTCAATGTCCTTTACATCTCTGATGATGGGAAAACAAGATATAAAGTATATAACAGGCATATTTAACCATGTGCTCATGTCGAAGATAAATAACAGTTATGGCGAGTGTTTGTGTGCTAGGTTTAAACGAGCACGGTATGGTGCTGACAAACCTTGAAACCAAAACAATGCGAATCTGCCACGAACATAGTGAGTATTTCTCGAACGCCGTGGGTACATACCTCCGCACAGCAAATTGGTTTAACATGATTGTGCCACCAAGCAACAGTTATACCTGTGAATAATATTGAACATATTTCCTTCCAATTAAATAATTCTTAACAATGTCATTGCAATGCCTGCAATGCACAGATGCTTTACTGAGAAACACATTTATCATGACTTGTGTTTCAATAATTCAAAATAAACGTAGTAACTGATCAACTACATGTTAAATTCATTCGTCACGAAAAGTAAGAAGTATTCTTACGCATATGCAGCATTAAGCTGTAGAACGGAGGCAGGAGTGTGAGTTGATACAAGATCTGCAATAGAGGCCACATTAGGAACTCCACAAAAATGCCTCCAGTGAGTGTAGGACGGCAGACCGTGGTCCCTCCCTCTCTGAATGTTGAGGGCTGCCAGATCCAGACTATTTCCATCAGAATCAGGGAAGAGACGGTCTGTCACCTCCTGCGATAGTTTGCCGTCCACTGACTGGGCGCAGTCCTTGACCAAACCTCTGCAGTAATGGCCGACATGTCTGTTCGTCGCGCTTAAAATCAGGTTGGTGTTTCCGAAGGTGTCACTAAGTTTGTCTTGACCAACATTGGCATACGCCACGTTGAAACTGCTCATGAAACTGCGAATCATGGAGTGTCCCATTCTGAAAGCTGCTGCTGCAAACGCGTTCCTGATGCTGGCGTCTGTTGTTGTGCTGTAGACGTTGGCATACGTTGAGCCAGATCCTACAGTTAGGCCGTAGGTAGTCATGGTTGAAGTGCCGAGGATGATTGGTAGGTATTCGTCATATGTGATTTCCTGTTATAAATAATACATCAACAGCTATATTTACTTACAAACAACCCTGCTTGGACCATGATTAGTACATTTCCTAAAGAATCTATTGCTTATTGTAAGAAGCGCTAATTTTGATAGGGTGGGCAGACTCGATGACTTGATTGACTGAGTGTCATCGCACCCCTTCGGCATTTAACGTTGATCATGATGTCAGTTCTGTTTTTTTCTGACTCAGACTCGATTATTTACAAGCTTTCATGATACAACTGTAACAGAGCTACCCAGTGAGTAAAAGAATATTGTCTTAATCAAAAGCTAAACCTGTATAATGGCTCCAACGATCTTCCTGGCTTCCTGGAAGATTCTTTCATCGCTCCAGTGACAGTTCAGTTGTTTCAACCTCCTCGCTATACGGTTGTGTTCTCTCATGAAGATGGTGTGCATGCTCTGTAGAGTGGGGTTCTCATTCACTCGATGGTCACCTAAAGAGATAGATTGTTAGGTTTCGGTAGGTCAACACCAATCACCAAACTGAAACAAGTGTGTTTCGTTAGAAAGTGTTTGCAGGATGGCTCTTTTATAAGGTTGGTTGTTTTGTTGTTTAACGCCGCACTCAGCAATATTTCAGCTATATGACGGCGGTCTGTAAATAATCGAGTCGGACCAGGCAATCCAGTGATTGATATCATGCGCATCGATCCACGCAATTGGGATCGATGACATGCATCAACCAAGTCAGCGAGCCTGACCACCCGATCCCGTTAGTCGCCTTTTACGACAAGCAAAGTTGCTGAAGAGCCATTCTACCCCGGATCTTCACGGGTCTCTTTTATAGGGAAATTTGTAGAACTTTTTCCCAGGCGTGAACTCCACTGTCCTACTCTTAATACAACCTACCTGCAAGAAAACAATAATCAGATGGGTCTTGTTGGTTGCAGCTGTCTGGGTTGGCGGTGTCTTCCGGAAGCAGATCGCGCGGTGTAGTGCCGACACTGCTTACTTTCAGTAATCCTGGAAGACAACTGCTTGTTTTATCAAGGTGCATTGAGATAAGCTGTATCACAAGTCCGCTGCCGAATGTGTGTGAGTCGCATGGCATAGTATTTGTGTCAGTGCATGTCAGCTGAATGTGGAGCGAAATTGCAAATTCAGACATGGAAGATGTGTACCGACTCCTCGGGGGGCAACCTACCAGTATGGAATTGTGATCGATAACCAAGTATTAACATCGCGGTGAAAGTTGCAGCCAACATCTCTCGTATCAGGGGGCACGGATGGCCCAGTCGTCTAAGGCGCCGCGATTCGCTGTGCAGAGTTGCGTCCCTTTCGCACACCAGGACCCTATGATTGTGGGTTCGAATCCCGTTTCGCTCCGATTATGTTTCTAGGTTTGTCAGCACCACACCCGTGCTCGTGGGTTTCACCGAAGTGGAAAACGTCTGAGACCTGCATCACTTTCCTCCCACATTAAGCTGACACGCCGTGATTTAACTGGAATATTGTTAAAAGCGGCGTTAAACCCAATTCACTCACTAACTCTCAGATCAAGGCAAGGCTAGGGGACATTACCGTGCACAGCAACTGATCCGGGTCACCCGTAGTCCCATGTTCTTTGCAAATGCAATTTGAAATATTTCATAATGTTAAAAGGATAATTAAACAAGGTTAATTCAAAGTTCGTGTGTGATTATCCTGTAGCTTCATGACTGTATTTGGTAGCTTGGTATTCTGTGTGTGTTTTCTATTGACAAAAAGCAATGTGTCTTCACTTACCGTCAACAAAAGTCCGTAGCTTGTTCTGTTCCTCCTGTGACGACCCGTACACCTGCGAGGCGTCTATGTAAGCTGTGATCTGGTTCAGTTGTTCCACAGGAGCTGGGCACATATTTTCAAATGAGATTCGGTAAGCGATGTACAATTGCCGATAAAATATATACAAAAACAACTGGCGTTCAAATGTTTCAAATTTCTGCGACCCCGATAGAATTCCGGTTCGAAATACATCCTCAGTACCTTATGCCTGTTGTCGGAGCCAACAGATGAAGATGAGAAGGTTACATTGTCTGACCTACTGGTTGTGTACCACTTTTACGCGAGATGCTTTGCTCATACTGCCAACCACCGTCTGCCTGGCCCATATTCGATTATTTACAGGCCGACTTTAATATTGGTGACTGTGTCGTATACCAACATTGACCTCACTCAATATGCATTGTGAAGATTGAAGCAAATGATCATAGGTTTTCGGATGTCATACGTTTTCAAACGGCCGTGTTTATCGCGATTACTCGCGCTATAACGGGAGTTGTAGCGTCACACAGACATTGTAAATACTCTGAAGATGGCGTTTTAAGAGAAAGCTGTCTTTTCCAAGTGAATGGGATCACAGTTGCTCATGTCATTGGAGAGAAAACCACAAATGTTTCTTAAGCGTCCGAAAACCCTTAACACGGGGATACTTATATCACGACGACCAATTTATGGCATGTCAGCGTTTTTGTGAAAACTCTTTGCAATATCACTTCAAGTGAGCGAGATAAGCTTTACGCCGTTTTAGCAATATTCCAGCAATATCACGGACGGATAAGCAGAGTGGACTTCGTACGTTGTATCCATGTATAAAATGGACCCTGAGGTCTTCGGCGTGATGAATGTACCATTGTCTCTGATTAGTGGGAAACAGAGAGAAACATGTATATTTCCATCCCACTTTAAACAGTACTTCAGCTTCTACACAGCCGTGGGACAGACCCATGTGTCGCTTGCTACGATGATGAAACCCAGTAAGTGTGTGTTGCTGTGTGAGTGAGTGAGTGAGTTTGCTTTAACGCCGCTTTTAACATTATTCCAGTTATATCGCGGCAGGGCAGCTGAATGTGGGAGGAAAGACCGAAGTGGTGAAACCAACGAGCACTGGAATGGTGCGGACAAGAAGCATAATCACAATCATAAGTTTCTGGCGTGCCCAAGGGACGCAACTCTGCGCAGCGAATCGCGGCGCCTTAGGCGACTGGGCCACCCGTGCCACCGTGTGTTACTGAGATCCCAATTGAATGAATCTGTGGTTCGAAACATATAACTGTTGTCGAACTAACCAAACATGACGCCTGTTTGTAGTATTAAGTAGCAGTCATCATTATTCCACACACATCATGGCGGCCTGTACCAAACGAAACAACCTGAGCCTGACCACCTGGTCCATCTGTTAGCCTTTTACGACCAGCACAGGTTACTGGGAACACATTCTATCCCGGAATCCCAAAGGGACTTGAAACATACCTACGGTACAATTGGCGTTTTCAACCTGGACAGATCGTACGAAATTCATACAGTCAAACGTGAAGTTCCTGTCCGGCTGCTGTACTTGGATGGGGAAACACTGAGGTCTGGCAACGAGAAAACATAAATAACATCTTCCGATTAGCTCAAATATACAATATATTTCAAAGAACAATGAAGAACGGTATATTTCACGATAATACATGATTGTTCTATCATGACGTCATTTCTGGACATTGGAATATGTGCTCGCAATTTGATGACGGCATATATTGGACGGCGTTATTTTTGAGAGGAAGTGTCAGGTGAGTTGTACCCCATTGCTGGGGTACGCAGATTTAAACACTGTGGCTGCACGATCGCATCCAAAAGTGGGAGAGGTACGACAATCGATATAAGGAGAAAAGGTACAGATGATCGACGCGAGGATTGTGAGCTGCGGTACCAAACTTAACCCACCTGTTCGTAAAATAGACTTGTTTCACATTTCAGCTTGATTCTTATCGGGGAGTCATCATTATTAAAATTTGGGTAAATATTTTGTAAAGCTTGTACATTTTATCAACATCCTGAAAGTATCTCATACAAGAAATAAACGATCACGGGTTGTTTATTTCTTAAATAACATAACTAAATACATTTCAAGTAAATACGAGCTGTGGACGTAAAAGTTTGAGTAGAGTTTTCAGACTCTTTAACCCTCTTGGTGCCACAGGACCATATATGGTCCCTCACTTTTTACACCCGCATAGTGCCAGGGGACCATGTATGGTCCCGAGAAAATGCCCTTTTTAAACTGTGAATTTTGATATTTAACACTGAGTGCGCAAAGTCAAAACTATAACCATCATCACCCCAATCATCTTAGCTTTAACATCGTGTAACTCATACTTTATACAATGCTACGGATTAGCAACCTCCACGTTGTTCAACCATGCAGAGTGCCGCACACTCAGAGAGTTCGGGTTTACAAAGAATCGTGCCTTATCACATTACATATTTATTTTAGCATGAAAGATGTGACATTGGGGAATAACGTCCCCTTGAATCATTAAAAAAATAATTCGTCTCAGCAAAATCATTGAGGTGGATAGAATGGGAGAAGAATGGTGATCACACTTATTGGGAATCGAACCCGGGTATTTAGTTTGATTATGTTAATCATAAGACCATTCATGAATTGCATGCACATTATGACTGGCGCTGTCTTCCTGTTGCACAGTGATCAGGGAATGTTCAGTAACGTCATAAACTTCATCAGGAAACCAACCTTGCATCCAAGTCAGCCTGTGATACCCCGCCGTCGGGGAAGGAGTTGCTACAACACGCCACTGATGTCAGGTAGGGATCTGTCAGGATGAAAGAGGCTGAATAAAACACAAGGAGTTGCTACAACAGGCCACTGATGTCAGGTAGGGATCTGTCAGGATGAAACAGGCTGAATGAAACACAGCTTCATCACTCTATTCAATATATATTCTAGTTGCTACAACACGCCACTGATGTCAGGTAGGGATCTGTCAGGATGAAACAGGCTGAATAAAACACAGCTTCATCACTCTATTCAATATATATTCTAGTTGCTACAACACGCCACTGATGTCAGGTAGGGATCTGTCAGGATGAAACAGGCTGAATGAAACACAGCTTCATCACTCTATTCAATATATATTCTAGTTGCTACAACACGCCACTGATGTCAGGTAGGGATCTGTTAGGATGAAACAGGCTGAATGAATCACAGCTTCATCACTCTATTCAATATATATTCTAGTTGCTACAACACGCCACTGATGTCAGGTAGGGATCTGTTAGGATGAAACAGGCTGAATGAAACACAGCTTCATCACTCTATTCAATATATATTCTAGTTGCTACAACACGCCACTGATGTCTGGTAGGGATCTGTTAGGATGAAACAGGCTGAATGAATCACAGCTTCATCACTCTATTCAATATATATTCTAGTTGCTACAACACGCCACTGATGTCAGGTAGGGATCTGTTAGGATGAAACAGGCTGAATAAAACACAGCTTCATCACTCTATTCAATATATATTCTAGTTGCTACAACACGCCACTGATGTCAGGTAGGGATCTGTTAGGATGAAACAGGCTGAATAAAACACAAGGAGTTGCTACAACACGCCACTGATGTCTGGTAGGGATCTGTCAGGATGAAACAGGCTGAATGAATCACAGCTTCATCACTCTATTCAATATATATTCTAGTTGCTACAACACGCCACTGATGTCTGGTAGGGATCTGTCAGGATGAAACAGGCTGAATAAAACACAAGGAGTTGCTACAACACGCCACTGATGTCTGGTAGGGATCTGTCAGGATGAAACAGGCTGAATGAATCACAGCTTCATCACTCTATTCAATATATATTCTAGTTGCTACAACACGCCACTGATGTCTGGTAGGGATCTGTTAGGATGAAAGAGGCTGAATAAAACACAAGGAGTTGCTACAACACGCCACTGATGTCTGGTAGGGATCTGTCAGGATGAAACAGGCTGAATGAATCACAGCTTCATCACTCTATTCAATATATATTCTAGTTGCTACAACACGCCACTGATGTCTGGTAGGGATCTGTCAGGATGAAACAGGCTGAATAAAACACAAGGAGTTGCTACAACACGCCACTGATGTCAGGTAGGGATCTGTCAGGATGAAACAGGCTGAATGAATCACAGCTTCATCACTCTATTCAATATATATTCTAGTTGCTACAACACGCCACTGATGTCTGGTAGGGATCTGTTAGGATGAAACAGGCTGAATGAATCACAGCTTCATCACTCTATTCAATATATATTCTAGTTGCTACAACACGCCACTGATGTCTGGTAGGGATCTGTTAGGATGAAACAGGCTGAATGAATCACAGCTTCATCACTCTATTCAATATATATTCTAGTTGCTACAACACGCCACTGATGTCTGGTAGGGATCTGTCAGGATGAAACAGGCTGAATGAAACTCAGCTTCATCACTCTATTCAATATATATTCAAATCAACATCTCAAGGAGCTGGAGTACGAATGAATGTTTACAGTCAAATTACCATCTCATCTAACATGAGAGACAAATGGACAGTTTCAGTTTTGTTTTGTTATACACAAACGTTCTCGAAACAACATCAGCGTTTTGGTTGGCACAGCAAGCGATCTCCACGGTGGCCCTTTTACCTAAGGGGTTGAGGAGTGAGTGAGTACGTTCGGTTTTACGCCCCTTTAAGCAATATTCCAGCAATATCACGGCGGGGGACACCGGAAATGGGCTTCACACGTTATACCCATGTCGGGAATCCAACCCGGGTCTTCGGCGTGACGAGCTAACGCCCCTAAGGGGTGGAGGAAGGTTGTAGGACAAGAAATGAATAATGGAATGAAGGACGGCACCTGTGTACTGTGAACGAATGAAAACTACTACGGTACCACCTGCAGTGCCTACGAGATGAATACAGAAATGTTGAACTGTTGCATGCAGTGTAAGCATGATTTTATGGGCCCTCTGACTATATTACGTACGTTCAAATGGGTTCGAAAAAGCGGAATGGGTGTAGCATGTTACGCCACTTGAACACACAGTACATTTTCACGACTGGAACCATCACACATACGGGTCGTTCTCTTTGTTCACCAGCAGGCTACAAGAAACGCCCTAAAATTTATATTCATAATCCGTCGCAACGGCATCGAGCACTTCGTTGCAAATACAAAAATATATGTTGTTTCTAAATATATGTAAATGCAGTAGATGAAGAGGAACGTTGATGACCATTCCATAGCATGAACTGTATGTTCATTAATGTGAGTGAGTGAGGTGGGTTTAACGCCGCTTTTAACAGTATTCCAGTTATATCGCGGCGTGTCAGCATATTGTGGGAGGAAAACCCGAAGTGATGCAGGTCCAAGACGTTTACCACTTCGGTGAAACCCACGAGCACGGGTATGGTGCTGACAAACCTAGAAACATAATCGGGGCGAACCGGGATTCGAACCCACAATCATAGGTTTCTGGAATCGCGGCGCCTTAGACGACTGGGCCACCCTTGATGTGTGATCAAGTTATGAAGATGAACAGTCTTACTTCCTGGCTGTGTGAGCTGCTGTGTGGGCGTGCTGGTGATGTCGTGATCCAGGAACTGACCCCACTGCATCAACATGTGGGTGTAGTCCTCGCTGAGGTCGGAGTCTGTTGAAGGGGTGTGGACAGTCGTGCTGACGGTGCGAGCACTAGGTAAATGGTTTGGCGCTCCTGACGTTGCCAGCTGCCTCGGCGTTGATACACCTGTGCTCGGGTAAAGAAATGCAATACAAAACTCAGCCACATTGAAGTGTTAGCGAGGGAACGCTTTAACCACTTGGCTACCCCACCTCCCCCTTATTTATACCAGGACTGTCAATCCGTCGAGTATATATTGAGCCTTCGAGTATATATTGAGTCTTCCTCCCAGAAGGATTTTCTATGACAATAACATACATTTAATTAGTGTCCTCAAACTTGCTCCATTACGCCCGTCATGTTATTGCTGACAATACCCTACTTTTGACGAATGTGTTTCATGGTAAGCGAGTGAATTTGGTTTAACGTCGTTTTGAACAGAATTCCAGTTAAATCATGGCTTAGTGCTTAATGGTTAAGGAAAGTCCATCCTGCTGCTGTCTTGGACCTTTGCCCCTTTGGTGAAACCAAAGAACAAGGGTTTATCGCTGACAAACCTAGAAACCAGGAGGATTCAGATTGCGAACCTACCATCATTCGTTGTAGGTGACTGGTTTGTTAAGTTAGTATGTTCCTTCTTTAATAAATAAATAAATCTAAACAGTGCTCTGACATAGAGAAACAAAGTCATTGCGATCAAAACACGTACCGTCGTCATACGCCGGATAAAGCCATCGCCTCATCGGTATGGACGCCATACCCCACGTGCTGTGTTCCAGGTTGTTGCAGTGACCATCAGCTGTCCGATAGGGAGAGTTGGTGTCACACGTGCAGTTGTCGTCACAGAAGACCGTGAGTCCAAATCCTGTCTCAAGTTGTGGTCGTATTTGGTCATCTGGTATGTTTGCCCTAAATTTAAATAATTGTATATATTTATGACAAAATAACATGAAAGGTGTCCATTTGATAATCGACTCTTAGTATTACCGTTAAGGTCAAAAGGCCAAAGATGATTGAGAATAATGAATCAATATGGATTTTTTATTCACGAGGATCCATTATAACAAAATGATTCACCAAGTTAAATAGTTGCAGAATCTAATGAACTACATACACATTTAAGTAATGGCGAATAATGGAATGATAATATAATTCCGACACAGGTTTGAGTAATATTGAAAGAATTCATTGACATATGTGATGCGTCAGGACAATATAATTTGTAAAACTTTTATGGTGTGGTGTAAACTGTTTTATTGCAATCTATAAATATGAATTGTCAATGCAAGAGAATAACAAGCCCCGATTTTCAGCCGAAACAGCTTCCACTTGGTGGAAAGAGCAAATAGCTGTGGATCCGGAAAGGTTATGAATGGACCATTGAAAATCAGTGATGACACCAGGTGTTCGCGAAAAGGGTAGGCATGTCCTGCCCTGCCGGTTGCATAAGATATCAGAAATCCTGTTGTGTCAGTGCTGGCATCGAGTGAGTATGGTGTTACGCCAATTTTAGCAATATTCCAGCAATATCACGGCAGGGGACACAAGAAATGGGCTTCACACATTGTACCCATGTCGGGAATCGAACCCGGGTCTTCGGCGTGACGAGCGAACGCTTTAACCACGAGGCTATCCGACCGCCCCGCTGGCATCGAAGGTAAATAAATGAAACTCACCGTTTCAGTGCCAGAGTTGTTATGATGACGTTCAGACGATGGTTCTCGCCTTTTCGAATGCTCTCCAGATTCGTGAAGGTGAACTTACTGTGCTGATGGATCGTAGTTCCGGTCGCATTTACGAACGAATCTACAACAAGTGAATGAGTGAGTGAGGTATATCACGGGGAGTCAGCTAAGTGTCAGAGGGAAGACCAATGTGACGCATGCTGTAGATGTGACGTTACCAGGACTGATACAGTTCTAATGGAGTAAGGATCAGAATAACAGAGAATCTTCCATTTGTACCCACAACGATGGACTCTGAGTGAGTGAGTGAGTGAGTGAGTATGGTTTTACGCCGCGTTTAGCAATATTCCAGCAATATATGGGAGAGGATTACCAAAAATGGGCTTCATACATTATACCAAAGTGGGGAATCGAACCCGGATCGTCGGCGTGACGAGCCAACATTTACGATAACTTGACTTACGCACTGAGGATAACAGGTTCAAAAATATCATAATACCAAATATATAAAGCATTAAATTGAGGCAGGGCTCAGACGTTCACCACTTTGGTGAAACCCATAAACACCAGCATGACCCTGACAGTCCAAGAAACATCAAAGATCATATACATATACGAATAGCCACAACAGATATCTTAGAGTTATGCCAGCGAAGGAAAATCTACAATAGTTTCAAATGTTTACCTATTTTCAGAAATCCCCTTTGTAATCTGAGTTCATTGTCCAGGATTTCTTTTGCCTTTGCCTTAATTTCCTCCAATTCGTCATGGGTGAGGTCGACTTTGGGGGGCGAGGTTCTACTTTCTCGAACCTGTGCTGTGACTACCAACAGCTGGCATGCTAACAGTACAGGCAAGAACATGATGTTGCTCCTGTCCAAATGCCTTGATGCCTTGATGATACTGTATACAGATGTCTGGAAGAAACGAGGAAGATTTTTTGTTTTATTTACGTGTCACATATTGCTTGAGAGTTATAAACCAAACACCATACTCATAAACATACAATAACTGTGCCGATGGGACACGAATGACTTCCAAAGACGCGAAAAATAACATTGCACCTTTGTTAATCAAAATGTATTATTATATATATATTATTAAGATTCCAGAAAACGTTTTAAGCATTTAAAATGATATAAGATTAAAGTCCAGTGCGCCGTCATAGCCCACACAGTAGAGGCCAAGGGTTTACAAAATTCAATACATTGCATTGAGAAGATAAACTGACACAGTGGGTTACACACACACCAACTGATTTTGTTTGTTTGTTTGTTGTTTAACTCCAGCAATATTCCAGCTATATAACGGCGGTCTGTAAATAAGCGAGTCTCCGCCAGACAATCTTGTGATTGATAACGTGAGCATCGATCCATGCAATTGGGATACGATGACATGCATCAACCAAGTCAGCGAGCCTGACCACCTGATCCCGTTACTCGCCTCTTACGACAATCATAGTCGACTTTTACGGCAAGCATGGGTTGCTGAAGACCTATTCTACCCCGTATTTTCACGTTTACCTCGGAATTGAAACACGAAGTCATAATATAGACGTATTGGTTATAATGCTAAGTAAATGTTTTTTAAGATAAATACAAATTCTTTTGTCAGAGTGTGTCACATAAGCTGCTTAGATTTATGTCTGTTTTGTTTACTGTTTAATGCCGCTCTCCTGATCAATATCGAGCGGCCTGTAACTAACCGACTCTGATGAGGTGGTGTAAAATGGGGTTTAACGTCGCATTCAATATATTTTTCGCTCATATAGCGACGTGAATGTACGTATATGTGTTGCTGTTCGTACTGGTCCGGAAAAATACTAGGTTCATACTGCTGGCCCACTTATATATCATGCGGCAGTTTAACATGGATATGGTTTGTCGCCTTAATGTTGAGCGATAGCCATGATGACAAGAGAGCCATCTTTTCATGTCTTTTGGTATGACACGGTCAGGGAAAATCGAGTCTGTCAAACCAGTGATTGATATTATGAACATTAATCCCGCCGTCGGGGTACGATGACACGCAATCAACCATGTCACCGAGCCTGATCACCCGATCCATTTAGTCGCCACGTACGACAAGCAGAAGGTGTAGGTTGCTCGGAATCTGTTATAACCTGGAAAGACCCTTGGGGATAAGACTGATATGAATCGTAATGGGTCAAATGACCCATTATCCGCGACACTGATAATACATCAGGTGATAGCAAATCGAGCTTGGGCACCCGAATTTCTGAATGTTTGTTTTCAGGGACCGATGACCCCAACACCTCACAAGAAGAATCTGGTACCCTGGTATGTAAAATAGATATGTTTTTATTAGTCCGATTCAGGGAGGGAGTGAGGGACGGGTGTTCTATGAGTGGTGTTCATCATTATCAGAGCGGGGCTGTCGGGTAGCATAGTTGTTAAAGCGTTCGCTCGCCACGCTGAAGACCCGGGTTCGATTCCCGATATGGGTACAATGTGTGAAGCCCATTTCTGATGTCCCTCGCCGTGATATTGCTGGAATATTGCTAAAAGCGGCGTAAAACCATACTACCTTACTCACTCACTCACTCACTCATTATCAGAGCAGTGATACCTCATGCATTGTACCATAGCCATTGTGTTGAATTGAACCCAGCTTTAACCACAAGGCTACGACACCGCCCCTAAACCGATACAGGATACACAGGTTTGAATAAGAACACAGTTGGCCACCTCATGTTACCTGCTGAAAAATTGGTACAAGAAGGTCGCAAATAATTAATATCAAACTGCCGGACAAACGAAAGTGTACACTTAAAAATATTTATTTGACCAATGAAATCCAAAAAAGCTAATAGGCTGAAAAACGTCGCAGAAGCACTGCAAACCTATGGTCCTACCCGTAACAAATACATCACCATCCAAGAACCATTTCTTATTTGTTTCATATTTGGCCATCATCAAACCTGGGTGTATACTTTCTTTTGCCCGGCAATGTATTTATCAAATGAAGCGATGAAGCACTGGAAAAGGTTGTCATTGGCATTGCCATGGATAAAACACAAGATAATTGATTTCGGTGTTTGTTTTTTAATATGAGTATGTAACTTTGTACACAAAACCAATGTTTCGTCCGAAAATTAAAACAAGATACACTTGTTTCAAAATGTTTCAAAGTATGTAGTTTCCGGTGCTTCATCTTTTCCCACGTGTACAAATAAGCAAGTATAATGAACAAAACAAAAACGTATAATTTAAAAAAATAATATACTTTTAAATAAGACAATGACAGATATACTTACATACAAAGTAAAGCATAATATTTGTGAATACATTGTTGATCATAATCAAGTATAATATAAAATTCTGTAAATAAAGATTATTATTATTATTATTATCAAAAAGTAATGCAACTTACCCCTATGTCTAGTCGTTGAAATTCGAGCAATAATTCGCAATGGTTAAGTCTAAGTTTTATGTCCTTTAAATACAAACAAGGAGGACACATGATTCAGAACCAACCAATCATAGTGCTACGTTAAACATCCTGAAGATTAGCCTTGACCAAATATGATCAAATCATTATTGGTTCATCGGGGCGTATCGCATAAACAAAGATATATACATGTTTACACCTAAAGCAACAATAAATACGGTCACCAGGCGGTCAAGGGAAATATAACCTTATTTCATTGGTAGATGGACTTCAGGATCTTGCCTATTTTACGGACGGGTGGGGAGGGTGGACTGCTGGGGGGAATAGAGCGAGGCGGGTGGATGGGCGAAGAGGTTTGGGTGGATGGGGTGGTGTGGAGAGGAATTGCGTGGTAAGCGCAATAGATCACGTGATACAGGTATGATGCGTCCTCCAGATAAGATTTACATTTTATTACCAAATGCGAAGGTCAAGTTAGACTTTGATCCAGGTTTTAACCTACAGCACACATTATACTCATTAAAAAAAGGACAATGCTTTGCACATTACGATGCTTTGGGGGCTTTTATTTAGTTTTATTTGACAAGACGTCGATGAACGTGTTCAAACTACTTCAAATGCAGCTTAATGGTTTCCGTACCAACTGTCCCAATGTAGTAATGAGATTTAACACAACAGGTTCATTGTAGGTATAATGCAGGTGTAATAATGTGTGTCTGTGTGTGTGTCTCTTTGCGATAACTGCGTCGCTTTTGACGACTGGACCACCCGTGCCCACAGAGTGTGTGTGTGTGTGTGTGTGTGTGTGTGTGTGTGTGTGTGTGTGTGTGTGTGTGTGTGTGTGTGTGTGTGTGTGTCTGTCTGTGTGTGTGTGTGTGTGTGTGTGTGTGTGTGTGTGTGTGTGTGTGTGTGTCTGTGTGTGTGTGTGTGTGTCTGTCTGTGTCTGTGTCTGTGTCTGTGTATGTGTCTGTGTCTGTGTGTCTGTTTGTAAGTGTGAGTCAGGTGGGCTGGGGTTGGGGCACCAGTATGGGTTGGGCACGTTATGCCATGTGCGGAATCGAACCCTTCCCTTCGGAAACACTAGCTAACACTTCAGCCATTTGACTATCCCATCGCACCTCATCATCGAACAAAGAAACCTTTTCAAGTGTTGCTGTACAAACATCTTGAGATTGAGCGATTGAGCGTTGCAGGTTGAATAGATTATACGGCGATCCCAACTCTTGGTGATCGGTTAACGATGTATGAGCCAATGCATCTTTAATATGGAATAGGTTTGCTCCAGATGCCATATGTTAACTATAGAAAGCAATGTTTGAAGATACGGTATTCAATGTAGTGAGTGAGGACATATATACGATGTTACGCCTCTTTTAGAAATGTTCCTGCATCGTCGCTACGACGGACACCAGAACGGGCTTCAAACATTGTACCCATATGGAGAATCGAACCCGGACCTTCACACTGACGAGGGCACGCACGCTTTTACCGACGAGACTAAATATATCAACCCGTTCCTGGCCGTAGTGTCGATTATCTTATGTATATATATCAGGACTGAATACCATGGCTAAATTGTTATATTTAAGGTTCAGGGCGGAACTATCGAAAATCCCAGTGCACTAGTGCCAGGGACCCAACTGTTGAAAATCTGAAGGGATTAGAAGAGATTAACAAATCAATTGTCGATACCCATTTAACTTTCTCTTCTCTCGAATTATATGTACACCTAGAAATAAAGCACCCCTGGCAAATTAAAGAACAGTGATATACACGTTTTATAAAAATTCAAAGTTCATGATACTCATTCATATGAATGGCTTTCGTTCTCGAGTATAGTCATGACAATAACTGACGTCCAAACATACATATGAACGTAAAGCATGATACTCTCGAGTTTCAGGAAAAGCATGATATTGATGCAAGTAAGGGTATATGAAGGGGCAATTATCCGATTGTTTAGTCAGCACATGTAACCACGGAGGCTGTCAGAGGCAACCCGGTGGCGAATTATAGGCATGCATGACACAGCTATGTCATACAGATCCATTGGACGACAACTTGGCTATGACCATACTCTCATCAACAGACTCGTAAGAAAACAAAGAAGTAAAGGACCGCCCACGACCAGGGCCGCCCCGAAAGACAATTGTATGGGAAGACAGGGCTCTAGCACGTCTTGTGAGGCGACAACCCTTTGCTAACAGTAATGCTCTGACAGAATAATGGCTTCCAACAGGCATATATCCACCAGAACTGTCCGAAACCGGCTAATCATTTTGGATGAAGTCAAGAAAGGTCACCAGACGTCTCTTGTAACTGCTCATCATCAGAGACTTCGATTGGATTGGTGTATGGCTCGACGTCATTAGAATCTGAGGACGTGGCGATGGATCCATTGGTGTGATGAAAGAAGATTCTTGCTGCACGTCATCGATGGGTGAATGCGGGTTTGGAGACACAGAACCATTGCATAAACCCCTAGGAACATTGTACCAACAGTCCTGTATGGTGGAGGCTCCATAGTGGTGTGGGGAGCAATATCAGAAGACTGCAAACTGGACATGGTAGCAGTACGAGGCAATCTCAACGGCGATCGTTACGTCCAGGACATTCACAATACTACTGTGAGCCACTCGACCTGTGTTCATGTACGACAACGCTAGACGCCATCGTTCTTGTGGTGTGAGTGCATATCTGCAAGGACACGCTATTGAGAATTGCCTTGACCCGCGATGAGTCCAGATTTGAATCCATTGGAACATGTTTGGGACATCCAGGACGTCGGATACAGGCAATGGATCCACCAGTACAGAATGTGGCAGCTTTAGAGGATGTATTGCATTGGGAGTGGCAGTAGTTATCACTTGGAGAAGGGTAGTATCTGTCATATAGGCACAGGGCGGTAACACTCGCTTCTGATTTTCAGCATTGTGATTATCTTTCTGGACCGAAATCGTCGTTCATACCTGATCATGGAACTTCCCAGATCCATGGATTGTGTAGTTATCAATTTCATCAATTACAGTACTATCGCAACTGTGTTCTCACTGCAATTAATACATAGAACATTTGCATCCCTCTCTGAGTTCTCATTAGTCAAGAGTCTCATCTTCCACAAGACATGTAATTAACCACTATAGCTGAGGCTTGACGTGCGTGATAGTTTTAACTTGTTGTTTTACATATATACCGGGGATGCTTAATTAATGTCTAGGTGTATATATAAGTTAAATTACACAAAGTTTTAAGATCGAAGTGAGATGAAGTTAGAACGGAACTAAGTTTAAAAGTTGAGTAAATCTTGTTGCTGACGTCTTGTAAGTGAAGCTATAGGTGAGGTGAGGTGAGGTGAGGGGAGGTGAAATGGGGTTTAACGTCGCGTCTAAGATTATTGCACTTATATAGCGACGTGCATGTACGTGTGTGTGTTTGTGTGGCTGCTGGTACTGGTCCGAACTGATGCCGATTTATAGTGCTAGCTCGCTGAGATACCATGCCGCAGTTTTAACACTCAGACACTCCGAGCCCACCAGTCTTTGTTTTAGCCCCTTAATACCGAGCGCCAGACAGGGTAGCAACAAGTACCATCTTTTAACGTCTCTTGGTATGGCGCGGTCGGGGATCGAACCCCGGAACTTCCGCTCTCCGGGCAGACGCTCTACCACTAGACCACGGAGGCGGTCAAGTGAAGCTATAAGTGACATGAACATTGTATGGGAGTGAACACCAAGCTAAGGTCATTACGGCTATTGCGCAAATCCAGATGAGATGCGATACAGTCGATCTTCCCGGCAGCCCCTTAATGCCGAGCCCCAGACAGGATAACAACAAGTACCATCTTTTAACGTCTTTTGGTATGGCGCGGCCAGGGATCGAACCCTAGACCTTCCGCTGTCCGGGAGGACCGCTACCACTAGACCACTGAGTCGGTCCCAGATAGGACACAGGAGACAAACACTCGCACTTTTCAACTCGTCATGGACGCAGCACATCAGTTAGATTTCAACCTATCACCAACAGTAAATCGTCCAGTTAGACTTTGAGAATGTTTCTCACAAATAAAACATAAAATTCAGAAGTATGTGAGTGGTGTCATTTATTTATACATCAATATACCTTATTAATTCAATAACAATACGGCGACAAGATATGTACTCGTATATGTCTTGTTGTCTTCAGACAGACATTGAACCATTGAAAGCACTTGGTGCACAAACCTAACACTAGCAACGAAATAAATGACCACAAAACTACCTCTGTATTAGATTAAGACTTCACGGCGACACCACCCCACCGCCCTTTCCAATAAAGAAAGAACCCGCTTGGTTTTATGTTTACACAATCTTCTATTACTGTATCATCAGTGCGGTTGTGTTTAGTTGAATAGGTACCCGAAAGTATGTCATTTCAGAAACTCCACGATTTATATTTCATTTGTACATGTACATGTTCTGAATGAGGTGAGGGGAAATGGGGTTTAACGTCGCGTCCAAGATTATTGCACTTATATAGCGACGTGCATGCACGTGTATGTGTGTGTGTGTGTAGGGCTGCTTGTACTAGTCCGGACTGATGCCGATTTATAGTTCTAGCTCACTGAGATACCATGCCGCAGTTTAACATGAATACCCCACTCAGACACAGTATACTGACTCCGAGCCGACCAGTCCTTGTTTTAGCCCCTTAATGCCGAGCGCCAGACAAGGAAACAACAAGTACCATCTTTTAACGTCTTTTGATATGACGCGGCTGGGGATCGAACCCCGGACCTTCCGCTCTCCGGGCGGACGCTCAACAATTAGACCACGGAGACGGTCCTGTTCTGAATGATGTGTGCATGTGTGATATATAGAGGTTATCACGCGAGTATTTGGGGATGGTAAATATCCTGTATTAGGAATAAACATTGTATTTAGCGAGCCTTGGAATAGTGTTTATTCCTATTACAGGATATATACCATCCCCAAACACACAAACGTGATAACCTCTCTCTCATATAATGCTATTCTTTAATTCTGTGCTCGAAAATCGAAAATCTCTCACAAACATAACCTAAACATTGCAATTTTTTCCTGGAATGTGAGCATTAATATATATTACGTCAG